TTCCAGGTACCACTTTGCCACATTATACGACACAAACCATCGTATCGCGGTTTACTCGGCATACGTGTTCCAGCCCAGCAATGGAGGTGGACGGGAGAGAAGGTGGTTTGTAGAGCCTCAGGTTGGTACAACACAGAACAATATTAATCATAATAATAATTGTATACCGTATATACTCTTAAGTCTTTTGATAAAGCCAACACATGATGAAGTGCAGCTAGTTACAGCGGTCACCAGCTTTTTTGAAACTGAGAGCTACTTCTCGAGTACTGATTAATTTTCAAGAGCGACCAGATTGAGGTACATTTTTGAAATAATACATTTGCTGAAATCACCTTTGAATTGTATGTTGTTATTAATCATTTATTAATCAGTTATTAAGGATTTCTCACAATAATTTACCAACAATAATTTTACAAGGTAGGAAAGTGAGCAACATCAACATCTCAGCATATTTTTTAAATGATCACTTTTACCGAGGAAATCACAATGTCTCCTCACGAGTGCAACTACTTGCACAACAGGCCTGTGGACTACTGATGCGGTCCATGGGGGGCTACGTGGTGCTCTCATGCACGATGTTAGTGACACCCTCAGCTCATAAAAGCAAAGACAGCTGTGTCTATGGTGACATTTGTTAAAAGTGGAGTTTCTGATGTTCTTCTAGCTAGTCAATAAATCGTGGCAAGCAGAGATGAAGGATGGTTACTGGCTGGGGCGAGATCATCCTGGGATCTACCTAGGCGAGAAACAGGCTCTCAATGAGGACTACACACACTCCGGCTTTGACCGAGGTCACCTGAACCCCAATGGACATCATGCAGGTAATCACAACGCTTCCATACAATTCATGTACAGACATATTTATTTTCTCACCAGCCTCAAATAGACAACGCAGTTAGCTGTTTTGAACAACAACGTATTCAGCGCGTTGTGGTCCAACTGGTGGTGTCAGTCCTCCATTTTCTGTATGACTGACCCTCAATTGGGTCGTGGGTGGGTTGAAGCCGACTCCAGCATAAGCGTGATGTGGCGTACACCCTTGACTGTCACTAACAGGGAACATAAAGACTCCAGGGGTGTAAAACTCATTTTGGTGGCGAGCCACGCCGTAATTATGATTTCCCACCAAGGTCCATTTTGAATGTGAACATGATCGCCTGACACATGATCGCATATAGGTCTACACAATGAATTGATCGCTAACTAGTTTTGAAATCAGAAGGCAGGGATATGGATTGGAAAATGGATGGATAGCTGGTGTATTTGGAGGATTAGCTCATTTTCTTCTCAGTCAGCGTTGCCCCTCCTTTTTAAATGCTCTCCAATCCTTTTTGACAGTTCCTGGCCGCAATGCCACTTTCACCCTCACCAACGTGGTTCCTCAGAACCCCAAACTGAACCAGAACGCATGGAGAATCCATGAGTCTCAGCTGAATGATCTTTTCCGCCAAAAGTGTTCCAAAGCTTACGTTTTGGTGGGTGCAATACCCTCTGCGGGCAATTGGATTGTCAAGAACAATGTGAGGCGTGTCAACATCCCAGACTACGTGTGGAACGCATACTGCTGTGTGGACAACAACGACAGGCCCATTCAGGGTGGCGCGGCTGCAGCCAGGAACACAGAAGACAACTGGGTGGAGAAATTGTCTTTGGATGAATTTGGAGAGTTCTTGCAGCAGTTCTCAAATCAACCAGTAGGAGAGCTTTTCCACAACAGCTGCAACATTTGATTTGGTGATGGGATTATTGTGGGGATTTTGCCAAAAGATGTCATGCAGATTGTGAAGAAATATTTTTGTAAAACGGCAAAACAAAACGGTTTGTCTTTCCCTTTCACAGCATGGCGGCCGTGCATTGACTCAATCCTAACAAATGAATAAAGACGAGCGTTCCAAGTTTGTTTTTTTCCATGAGTCTTTTCCCACTGACCACAAAGACATAAAATCCTCTGCACTGTTGATATGTAATGTAACTATTTGCTATATAGTAATATATTTTTCCAATCACGGAATATCATTGATGGAAATGGCCACAGAGAGTGCTAAGGATGGGAATTGATCATATTTTTACGATTCCAGTTCAATTTTCGATTGCGCTTAATGATTCTCATCTTTATCATTTCTCATATCGATATTTTTGGGATAAAGGGACACTAAACAAGATTAGCAACACTTTTGTTTTGTGTCCTAATTGTATCTGTAAAATACATTTCTGAAAGCAACATGAGCTTACAAACCCAACAGTGTGGTTTTAATCCTCCTATTATCCTTAACGTCAATTTGACCCCATTCACTGTTTATCATTCAAAAAATAATAGTACCAGTTTGAATTGATGGCTCCCTAATGCTGGCGTAAAAGAATACACAGACACACATTTTTTCCTCACGTGTTGGCTTAAGTCGAGATAAAGAAAGTTAGCAAAGAAGGTGAAAGGTGATGTGAAGCCATGTACTGTATATATGAAAGTCCCCCTCTCTCACCTCGGTGCACACCGCGGCAGCTGACAAGTGTGAGGCGTGGTGAGTGGACATACACACATGAACTGCACTGCAAATAAATATCACCCGGAGCTACACGGCAAATTAATAGTTCATATTTCTCATCTTTTTGCTCTCTTCAATCCAAGGAAACCCAAAATGGACACCTTGGCAACTCTGTACACGCTTCTGTCACTCTTACTTTTTGTTCACGCGGACCTTGTGGAACAATTTGAGGTTTGTGTGGTTGCTTACCATTTGGCAAAAGCAAGCATTGAATGAAAGAATGTGAGTATGTTTGTGCACTCTGTAATTATATTATCTTCATATTTCGCCCCAGGATGTGCCTGAATGCTTGAAGTATTTCTACAAAAGTAAAGTGCCGAGTTGGGGGTCTTCAACACCTGGCACCGCTCGTCTCTGTCAGCGGTTTGTCAACCGGTAAAAAGTGGAACTTTAACTTCCATATGACAAAATACACGTTTTGGGACAGCTGAGCCACACTAATTTTGCAAGGTCAGAGGTTAAGGATTTGGATTAGAGTGTAGATCATTATTTCTGTTCTACTTTATTCCTAATGGTGATCAGGTGTTGGCTACAAAAAAAAAAAAAAAAAAAAAAAACCTAGCCAAAATGGGTTGTGTAACTTTTTTGGACACACCTTCTCTTCCAAATCATACGCAAGCGTGTCCAAAAACATCAGTGGTCAACACGTGAAAGAAAAAAAAAAAAGTCTTCTTTTACACTTCCAGGTACCACTTTGCCACATTATACGACACAAACCATCGTATCGCGGTTTACTCGGCATACGTGTTCCAGCCCAGCAATGGAGGTGGACGGGAGAGAAGGTGGTTTGTAGAGCCTCAGGTTGGTACAACACAGAACAATATTAATCATAATAATAATTGTATACCGTATATACTCTTAAGTCTTTTGATAAAGCCAACACATGATGAAGTGCAGCTAGTTACAGCGGTCACCAGCTTTTTTGAAACTGAGAGCTACTTCTCGAGTACTGATTAATTTTCAAGAGCGACCAGATTGAGGTACATTTTTGAAATAATACATTTGCTGAAATCACCTTTGAATTGTATGTTGTTATTAATCATTTATTAATCAGTTATTAAGGATTTCTCACAATAATTTACCAACAATAATTTTACAAGGTAGGAAAGTGAGCAACATCAACATCTCAGCATATTTTTTAAATGATCACTTTTACCGAGGAAATCACAATGTCTCCTCACGAGTGCAACTACTTGCACAACAGGCCTGTGGACTACTGATGCGGTCCATGGGGGGCTACGTGGTGCTCTCATGCACGATGTTAGTGACACCCTCAGCTCATAAAAGCAAAGACAGCTGTGTCTATGGTGACATTTGTTAAAAGTGGAGTTTCTGATGTTCTTCTAGCTAGTCAATAAATCGTGGCAAGCAGAGATGAAGGATGGTTACTGGCTGGGGCGAGATCATCCTGGGATCTACCTAGGCGAGAAACAGGCTCTCAATGAGGACTACACACACTCCGGCTTTGACCGAGGTCACCTGAACCCCAATGGACATCATGCAGGTAATCAAAACGCTTCCATACAATTCATGTACAGACATATTTATTTTCTCACCAGCCTCAAATAGACAACGCAGTTAGCTGTTTTGAACAACAACGTATTCAGCGCGTTGTGGTCCAACTGGTGGTGTCAGTCCTCCATTTTCTGTATGACTGACCCTCAATTGGGTCGTGGGTGGGTTGAAGCCGACTCCAGCATAAGCGTGATGTGGCGTACACCCTTGACTGTCACTAACAGGGAACATAAAGACTCCAGGGGTGTAAAACTCATTTTGGTGGCGAGCCACGCCGTAATTATGATTTCCCACCAAGGTCCATTTTGAATGTGAACATGATCGCCTGACACATGATCGCATATAGGTCTACACAATGAATTGATCGCTAACTAGTTTTGAAATCAGAAGGCAGGGATATGGATTGGAAAATGGATGGATAGCTGGTGTATTTGGAGGATTAGCTCATTTTCTTCTCAGTCAGCGTTGCCCCTCCTTTTTAAATGCTCTCCAATCCTTTTTGACAGTTCCTGGCCGCAATGCCACTTTCACCCTCACCAACGTGGTTCCTCAGAACCCCAAACTGAACCAGAACGCATGGAGAATCCATGAGTCTCAGCTGAATGATCTTTTCCGCCAAAAGTGTTCCAAAGCTTACGTTTTGGTGGGTGCAATACCCTCTGCGGGCAATTGGATTGTCAAGAACAATGTGAGGCGTGTCAACATCCCAGACTACGTGTGGAACGCATACTGCTGTGTGGACAACAACGACAGGCCCATTCAGGGTGGCGCGGCTGCAGCCAGGAACACAGAAGACAACTGGGTGGAGAAATTGTCTTTGGATGAATTTGGAGAGTTCTTGCAGCAGTTCTCAAATCAACCAGTAGGAGAGCTTTTCCACAACAGCTGCAACATTTGATTTGGTGATGGGATTATTGTGGGGATTTTGCCAAAAGATGTCATGCAGATTGTGAAGAAATATTTTTGTAAAACGGCAAAACAAAACGGTTTGTCTTTCCCTTTCACAGCATGGCGGCCGTGCATTGACTCAATCCTAACAAATGAATAAAGACGAGCGTTCCAAGTTTGTTTTTTTCCATGAGTCTTTTCCCACTGACCACAAAGACATAAAATCCTCTGCACTGTTGATATGTAATGTAACTATTTGCTATACAGTAATATATTTTTCCAATCACGGAATATCATTGATGGAAATGGCCACAGAGAGTGCTAAGGATGGGAATTGATCATATTTTTACGATTCCAGTTCAATTTTCGATTGCGCTTAATGATTCTCATCTTTATCATTTCTCATATCGATATTTTTGGGATAAAGGGACACTAAACAAGATTAGCAACACTTTTGTTTTGTGTCCTAATTGTATCTGTAAAATACATTTCTGAAAGCAACATGAGCTTACAAACCCAACAGTGTGGTTTTAATCCTCCTATTATCCTTAACGTCAATTTGACCCCATTCACTGTTTATCATTCAAAAAATAATAGCTGACTATTTTTTTTGTTCTATATTTCATGATTTTAAAACACAACCAAACTTTTGACCATTAGATGCCATGTTTCTTGCTAGCCAAGCTAGCTAATATTGTTGCCACGCATGTTGTTGTCCGAGGCAAAGTGCCTGGTGACGTCATTCTTCCCGACTGGAATAGATAAGGGAATTGTGTGCAAAAAAATGGCAAACCATGCCAAGGAATTCAGACTCTGGGAACTGTTTCTCAACAAGAACCGGTTATCGATTCCCATCCCTAGCGAATACAAAACGTGTTTTTAGACATTGCTCACAGTGCAAATGAGTGGGCCATCAGGGTTGAGATAATTCCCACATTTAGCACAAAATCACCCCAGACGTTGTCATGACAACATCAAGAAGTCGAAAAGATAAATCTGTGACTCACACATCTGAATTTGTTTCATCCGAAAAAATATGATTCCAAGTTCACTTAAATGAAAATCTTTGCTAAATTGGAAAACAGGAATCAGTGCAGTAGTGTTGCCATGCGATAGAATGCAGCGGTCACTCGGCGTAAAAATTTGCGAATCCTCTTCAACATACTCTTATTGGACTTGAGGTCAGCATTACCATTTGAGGCGGGGATTCGTAGCTGATCAAGTGACACTTCTTTGTCTGTCACAGGGCTCAGGCTGCCACTGTCGGGTTGTTGGGCCATCGTAATGAAAGGATGTCGCAACGCTTGTGAGGCAGAGATTCTCTGATGTCCGTCAAGATGCAACATCTGTTTGAGCAGGTCCAAGAAAGCCTTCCTGTTGTCCAGCTCGCCCTCCGCGCAGTCTCCCCCGGGGGGCAACTGAATCAGATCTTCCAGGGGTTTGGGAAGCTCTCTGCAAGCATCCTGGTTTTTGGGTTTCTCATTGTTTGCCGCTTCAAACTCCTCTGGTGTCATGAGCCTATATTGAGAAACCCCGACCTCCTCATCTTCAGTGAAATAGTTCTCAGTGTATTTCCCAGCGTGAAGCAGGTGGTCTTCTGGCTGGCCCAGAACACAGATGATATGTTTCATCATTTGATATTCACAATTGACAGCGAATAGGTTTCCGGGCAGGAACAGGAAGGCCATGATGCAGCCGACGCTCCAGACATCAATGTTCTCGTTGTAAGGGAGGCCGAGGGTAATTTCCGGCGCTCGATATCCCACCGGTTGAATCTCCAACCCGAGTTTAATTTTGGATGCTGGAATCGCATTGCCGAAGTCAATCAGTTTCACCTTCAAGGGCTGTTCTTTCCTATTAACAATCATAATGTTGTCGGGTTTGATGTCAGTGTGCAAGATACCGACACGCTTCAGAGTGACTAAGGCCACGAGAAGCTGATGGGCAATGACACGTATTTCGTCCAGAGACAACGGCTGACGTTGTCGCTCTTCCAGCAGATAAATGAGATCGCAGTCCAATACCTCAAAGACCAGACAGATGTTTCCCTCGTGCTCAAACTGTTCAAAGAACTTGACCACGTTGGCGCTATCTGCATCCATATCACGGATCATCTTCAGCATGGACAGCTCTTTGTCCGTGTCCTGTTTGATGGAAGGGTCATTCTTCAAGATCTTAATAGCCACCATCTCTGACGTGTCCAGACTTTTGCACACTGCCACTTTCCCATAGCAGCCTTCACCGATGAAATCAAGGACCGAGTAAGCATTGGACTTACTGTACAAAACCTTCCCTATCTTGACTTCAGATCTTGTCACTTTCACTGCAAAACAAGGACACACAGGACACTACTGTCAAGTCAGTAGTCAAATCTAAGTGAAACAGAATTGAGAACACATAAGTCTGTGAGCAGCATGGTGCCTCTGGACCTGGTCCATATGTAAAGGGCATAACTGTCTATTATATGAATAAAATTTACTTAAAAATACAAATGTTTTTTATAATAACAATAATAGTAATCATGTTAATCCATCCATCCATCCATTTTCCGATCCGCTTATCCTCACAAAGGTCGCGGGGGATGCTGGAGCCTATCCCAGCTGTCTTCAGGCAGTAGGCGGGGGACACCCTGAACTGGTTGCCAGCCAATCGCAGGGCACACAGAGACGAACAACCAATCTGACCCGAACGTACATAGGTGCGTATTAAAAAAAAGTGTTCCCTTGCAAAAAAAAAAATTACGTTATCTCGCAAACTTCGCCAGGGAAAGCAGTTTTTTTCTTCCATGTAACCTTTGGGGCTCCATAGTACACAAAAAACTCTGCAATTGCAATATTGTTTTCGTTCACAACATAATAATTCAAAAGATAATGAATAAATAAATGTGAAATTAATAATATTGGTTAAAATGCGGTTGCATTGCTGCAGCGATAACTGCAAACATGCTTGTGTCTAAGCCTTCAACACAAGCATTTCTGAAGGTATCAGATGGCAACATCATAACTTGAGAAATCAAATGAGTGATGACATGAATTAAATTACAGGTAGGACAGTAGAACAGCGCGATGCTCTGAAGCCCAATAAGGACCTGGCTCCATTTTTTTTTTCACATCTCCCGGGCCCTATTATGTTTTTTTTAAGTGATTTTCTTGATCACAAAACGATCCGTATTGCTGCAACAGCTTAAAATAGATTGTCTTAACCTAAAATGGGATAAAACGCGACTAAAACAACAACAACTACTATTCCTACTACTTCTAATAATAATAATACAGACTTTACGTTTGACCTATAGCCATTGTAGTCACCGATGTGCACTAACTTGAAGAAACGGATGAGGCTGAAGACTCCGAGCTTGTCCATGAAGACATCGTACAAAGTTCCGCTTGCTTTTCGGCGTCAGCAGTTCCTCTGACGGCTAACCTTTTTTCTGGAACTTTCAATTAACTGGTCGGTGACGTAATAGAGAGCGCCTTTGAATTGAAAAGCCCCCTTTCGAGCAGAACAGCGTAGAAGAAATGCAGTTGAGGAGATCCCTCAACTTTCAAGACGGCTGAACTGCTCTCTGGAATCTGTGAGCAAGTGCATTTAGCATTGCAGATATTCGGAGCGTCATAACGGGTCATGATCAAAGAATGTTTGTTCAACTGTGGACATCCGTGGACGCAAAGTTCCCCTGCAGGCGTTTGTGAAGTTTTAGCTACTGTTCGTATGCTGGCTTTGTCTGTCCGGTTTTGTACACAACTACCACAACAAATGAGCTCTTCTGTGTCTGTAATATTTTGTACACTAAGTGACGTTTCAAAGTGCGTGCGCTTTTTATTGACAAACGAGCCAGCACGTAGATAGATAGATATAGAAAGATATAAATAGATAGGGGGCATATCAAACAGTTTAGTCAGCGTTTTTTGGAGATTGTTTGCAGTTTACAAAAAGTACCCCCCCCCCATGCATTTCAATGGACTTCCACTGTAAAATGTAATACGTAATCATTCCGCACCCCCGTCAAATGCAGACCTCCTCGCCGTTTCTGGATGTTTTTGCTTTCAACTTATTTTCTTATCCTCTATTTCTTAATTCTTGTTGTGAAGTGTGTTTAAGTAGCGTGAAAAGTATTTTCAAATAAAATGTGTCATAATAATTCACCACACGATGGCAGACATGGATTATTTGCGTTGGTATTGGGTCGTAAACTGCCCTATAGGCTTACTGGTGCAAGTAGGCCGAATTTTTTTTTTGAGGATTTGAAAAGTCATGCAAGACAAAGATAGCATCTGAGTAACATAGATATTTTGAGTGATTTAGTATTTTTAATGAAAAAAAAATGCACCAAATGACTGCTTGCACTGTATGTGATTTGTCATTCAAGCAGTTTTGTGCTGCTGTCTTTGAAAGGTAATTTTGTATGCACGAGACCCCTTAGAACAGGGGGGAAAGAAATCCCAAAACCAAAATGTTCTTGTTGTTGAAGACTAGATCTTTTATACATGCGTTGAGAAATTCATTAAGAAAAAAATTAATATAATAACAATAATAAAAATAATAACATACAAAAACAGACATGATACACATGTTTTGTGCATATCTAAAATGTCATTTTTGTCATACATCTGATTAGGAAGTGAGTGATCCGGCGTGTCCCCAGTAGCGCTGATGAAAATTGTGGCCCCTGCCATTATTTAAGTTGCCCATCCCTGGTTTAGATAATAACTGATACATTTTCCCTTATCATTATGAAATCTGGAAAATAATTTCTCCACGAACACAGAATTTGAACACAACCTTAATAGCAGCGGTTCGTTGTTATCAAAGGTTTTGCTTTAGGCGCTTGCACCACACCTACTGTGGAAACAAGTTCTTGATGGGGAACTTAAACTGCATCCTCATTATTTCGTAAAAGTTAATGACTGTCTTCATTCTTGAACTGAGTAATTAGAGTCATGACACCCGCAGCAGCAAATGATTTATTCTCCTCACCTTAAAGTGATCGGTCATGGCATTAAACTCATGCTTGTGAGCACACGTATGCAACCAATCGCAGCTTTCATAGGTGAATTAAGCTCAACAGCAATTCCTTTCACATGTCATGCAATATCCATCCAATTTATTTCACACTTGTATTATTCAGGGTGACAAGGAGTTCAAGCTCACCCCAGTTGACATTGGACAAAAGGCAGACCGCACTGCCTTTTGCTATGAGTACAACAGACTGTTATACTGTACTTGGACTATGAGTCTGTCGGCCACCAGTCTTATTTCTGCTCACAATTTTCACATGAAACTTTTTAAACTTTTTTTAATCCTCGTCATTATCTTACTCAGATTTATTGGATGTCAATGCTATGTATTGTTTTTTATGGATCCTTGGTTCTCTTATTTGGCTCAATGGCTTCCTAGTAAATTCTCACATGCCCGGTAAATTCTTGACAGCATTGATGTATTTTGTAGGTCACACTTACTATTATCAGTTTACATTTGGTAGTTAAAAAAAAAAAAAAAAAATCTTCAATTTTGTCAGCAATAAACTGTAAAATGTTTTGGTGATTATTCAGCAGTCTTACATTTAATCATGCAGAAACAGTTGTATAAATTGAATTTACATTCGTCCATTTTGTACTTTGAAAATATAAGACGCAAATGTTCATGTAAATGCATCATGAAAACATTTATTGGCCCTTTTCCCATTGACAGCAAAGACATTGTGCCATTTAAATGGCACACA